ACAAAATCAAAATAGAAATACCTTCCCGTGCAATAACTGACGTTGGAACACATTGATGAATAACTTTGGAGTCTCACAATCAGGTGCTGAAAGCTCTGACTGAAAGCGTGAAAAAAATGACAATGTAGTTGAGGACACAATGCAGCAGTGTTCTCGCCTCTCACCACATCATGAGGGGCGTTGCTCTGAGTCTTGAGAAGGCGTGTGGGCTCAGAGATGGAGATAGTCAGTGCCATACAACAAGGCGGCTTATCGCCTCGACGAAGGCTCGGGAGGCGTGACTTTGCTGTAAAACCGGCATTTTGACGTATCCAAAATGTTCGAGAATTCTTATTTATAGATAATGTATATCGTCATCAACTGGTCAACTGAACTAAGCCCAGGAAATAAAACTTTTCAGGAGGAATACTTTGTTTTAGTAAGGTTTTATGGCGCTCGTAGCTGCATAAGGTCATATTAACTCCAAGGGGTGGATGTCAACGGAGAATTAGGCTTACTCTGCTCACCTCTCTTGCCTCAAAAGCACCGAATTCTGGGCGTTAAGATTTATGGAAATAATATTGTCGTATGAACTTTGGTTGGAAAAATAAGGAATGGATTTAACGCTGCTTTCAGCATTGTTAGGTTATTTGAGGGATGGGATCTCCGAATTCAATGTCTGTTTTCGATAAGACAAAGGTGAACTAAGTCTTGTTTCAGAGCCTTGATGAAAACGCTTCAAAACAATACGAGTTCAAAAACGCCCAGTTTGGGATTCCAAAGAAGTCTGTCTTCTCCGTAGTGCAGCATTAAACGCATACCAACTTAGTCGTAGAGCGCCTTTTGTGAAAGCTGACGATTTTCACCAAAAAAGTCAAAATGAGTTTCCGACTTTCTCATCTCTGTTAAGTCGTTTCCTGTATTATGGAGAGAATTAGATGCCGTCCCTAAAAAAGCACCAGTTTTACCGTAATTAGTGCTGTTGTGTCTGGCAGATAGTGTCTAGGGTTATCCAGTTTGTTGTGTATCAATTGTCGTATTTTGCATAGCAACAAGATAAGGCGTCGTTTGTTTTGGACTCTTTTTTTGTGAAAACACGAATAGGCACGTAATGGATGTTTTCGAAAGACGGTATTTGTTTGGTTTCATCGACACTATTTCGATTATTTAGGAAACGGGTTTCGACCCTGCCTGTCAGCGGAACCCAGGCGAAAAAGTGATACAGTGTCCCAGCTGACAAAGAGAGGTTCTCTTTAAATGTGCCACAATGCAGTGGAATCAGGCGCCCATCAATATTTGGGCATGTGAAGTATAAAGCTTGTTCATTTTTCTTCCTTTCAATAACCTCCACCCCCCCCCCCATTTGTCTTGAATAGAAGTCGAGGTATTTGCGATTGAAGCAAGTTTTGGGTCGGCCTGCTTCAAAGGTAAATCATCGTGAAAAATCATGACCACCAAAGTTTGGTGAATTCCATAGCTTCATAATCTTTTGAAGCTGAGAATCTACAATTTTTGTAACTTTAATCAAAGTTTTTCAGTAAAATTCACACAGAAATGTGTTTTTAAATTAACATAAACGGTGTTAAGCCAAGAAACAAAAATTCGCTAAAGATTGCTAAACCGGCAGAAAAAATGCCATTTTCTTTAGTTCCATTGGAATTAAACTGTAGTTTTCTAGCTGCTTCAGCTCAGAAGCCCGTTTACTTTTCTTCAGTCTGTTTGACTCCCACCTTCGACTACAACAAAGGCACCTCCCAATGTGCAAGAAGGACCTAAGTTCAATTCTCATCTTAGGATATTATGTAGGTAGTCCTTCGTTGCCCAAGATGACGATGAATTCCTGCAGCTCATATGTGGACGCGCGTGTGACTGTGCAATCCGATCTTGGATGTACAATGTTTGTTATGGTGGGGATACTGGAATGCCGTGGTTGGGGTAGTTCGATTATGTCTCCTCTCTCTTCTGATAATCAGCTTCTCCCTGTAGTTGGTACATGTATCACTGTTTCTGCTCGCACGATGGACGGCGTTCCAATCGATGGCAGTTCTTTCGAATTTTTAGGATATTATTATACAAGACGTATTGTTTCGTTTTTCTCTAGAGATATAACTCACACAGCTGGCATTATCCCAGACAGCCAGACCCAAGAATCCCGCCTAAATTACCAAAACTGCGTCAACTGGGGCGTAATACTTTCGTAAAAACGCCCATCGTCTTCTCTTTCCAAGCGCCAGTGGGTCTTTTTGGTTACAATGACAACTTACGTATTACAAAATTTGTGAACAATCTGGTTCCATCTGAAATGAAATGCATGTCTCTGTAGCTCCCGCCTAAACCCATTCTTTTTCGAGGTAACCCTTTTGGAGTTGAACAGTATATTACGTGCATTTAAAGTTAACATTATTATTATTATTATTATTATTATTATTATTATTATTATTATTATTATCAGTAGTAGTAGTAGTAGTAGTAGTAGTAGTAGTAGTAGTAGTAGTAGTAGTAGTAGTAGTAGTATTTTTATTATGTTGTTGTTGTTATTATTATTATCATTACTATTATTGTTATTGTTGTTTTGGTTATTGTTATTATTGTTATTGTTATTGTATTATTATTATTATTATTATTATTATTTTTATTATTTTTATTATTTTAAAAAAAATTATTATTATTATTATTATTATTATTATTATTATTATTATTATTATTATTATTATTATTATTATCTTTATGTATTTCATGTAGGACGAAGTTGTCCGGGAGAAGAGCGCTGTGACCGCGATGTCACAAGATGGCGCTGCGGAGAATCTGCCATGGTCTGTTTCTCCGTTATCTCGGGGACGGGATATCGTGTGGCATCGTGGTTAAATCAGGCGTTCGCCAAGACAATGACATCGAAAAATAAAATCGAATTTGTTTTCGCCCTTTTTGGGGCATTTTTTGTTTTTAGGTGGCGGCTGGAGGGCGCCACTGGTAGGTCCTACTTCTTTACTTAAGCTCTGTTGTTTCTGTCTGTCTGTTTCACCTTTCCCCCCCAGCACTAAATGACCTTTATTCTGTTGATGTGCTTCTGTTTATTCAAACAAACAAACGAGCATTTAAATTTTTAAATATTTTTTTTTGGGGGGGAGTGTTTGTTCTACCCTTTTTCATGTCCATTCAAGACCACTTTTTTGTGTGGATTTTACAGGAACAAAACGGAGATCAAAGGCAGAACAGAAAAACGTAAATTTGCAGTTTCAAAAGACTCTAGCTTTGGAAGTCACCGAATTCTGACGCCATTTTTCTCGCTAATGTTACCTCTAACACCAGGTATCCTCCATCTCCTTCAGTAGCAAATATCCCCGCTTCTTTTCAAGATGGGTATTTTTTCCCTCAAAAGCAAGACAAATGAACAGACTCTAAGAGATTCTGTGGGTAGTTGGCGAGTGCTCTAGTGTGGTTGCTCCTTCTTACCTATCAAACATCTATCGTCCTAATTTCTCCTCCTTCTTTTTGTGTTTGTTTCTCTCTTGTAACTCCTCTTATCTTCGGTGCTTATACGACCTTATACTTATTGTGTTGCAAGTGCCGTAAAACTCTTACTAAAACTAAAACTAGCTAACACTAAGATGCTCTACCGACAACTCTATAATATGCCCCAAAGTTGACGAGCGTCTGATTGCCCCGTGTTGGGACACGTTCTGTGACGCGTGCTCCACGGTGATCTGAGAGGCTCTCTATCCGAGCAGAGACGTACGCACCGTGAGCGATCAAGATAAGCTGGGGCGATCGCAGTCTTGTCTTGGTGGGAGCGTCTGTTCTGTCTGTATTAAAAATATTCAACGAGAAGAGAAGATGACCGAATTCTTTGTACAGAGTGGCTAGCCGCCCGATTAGGGGTCGCTAGCGTTTTGCTACACGAACGAATTCGGTCGATTAGCCGAACGCTACTGGCACTTTGGGATATCTGCGCATGTTCCGTGTTCTCCCTCTTTCTTTTTAGATATAGTGTGGGTTTAAGACATCTTTGAACATAAATGGACTGGCGTTTTTTGTGCACCTGTAGTAAGGCGCTTTGCAGTCACAAGCAGGAGACCCGTGTTCGATTCCCTATTGAGGAGAATTTTTTATTGAGTATAAGTCTTTCTACTGGGATATTACTCGGGTTGGTCCTGACATGCAGGGTCGAAGCCCGCCTCCTAAAAGATCTAAATTATGTTGATGGGGGTGTAAAAGACATGTAGTGTACATTACAAAAATACAATAGGCGTGGTACTTTAGAAACAAGGCCTTTGATTTAGTGTCTTATTCATACGAGACGAAGTTGTCTTGGAAGTGAACCTTAACCACACTAAACACTGTTCAAGAATATTTTAGCATTTCGTTCGCGCTCAGGAACAGTCCATTTCAAGGATACATATTATTAGCTAGCCAATGTGATACAGTATACACTGTTTGATTAGGTTCATTATAAATACAGCGAATAGGATTAGATTGAAGAGCTCTTTATTTGGTGATAACAGGACTCAGTTCGCGACTTCAGTGCTTTCTTGTCGTATCTCCTTTTTTTAAACAGTGAAAATGTGACTTCTTTTTAAGCTCACTCTTTGTTATGTACTGTTTTCACTGTTAAAAAATGGAGATACAACAAGAAAGCATTGAGGTCGGGAGTTATCAGAAGCGGCTTTTGGCTGTCGTGAGTCACGGGAGGGTCTTATGGAGATTAACACAGACTGCAATGTTGTGTAGACCTCGGCAAAGCCTGCCTGGCTATCAAGTGTCAGCCGAGGCCACTGTTATTGAGGAACAATCTAAGTGAAGACTCCGGTTGACGAAAGCAAAGAATATCCATCGAAGTTGTCGATATATCGAATTTTAATTTTTCGCGGAAAAACATTCTTTGACATTCCCTAATCTGTTCTGTCGGGTCACAATGACGAAACTGCTGAAAAAACACCCTAAATGACCTAAAATGGTGTTTGAAAAGTGATCATTGAACAAAAAATCCTTAAAACAATTCCTGCTTTTTCGGTTTTTCTCAA